GCAGGGAGTCCTCTCGGCTCCGCTGATCCCAGGGTCCTGAGGCCTCGCGGCTCCGCTGATCCCAGGCCGGGAGGCCTTGTGGCTCTGCTGACCCCGGCCGGGAGGCCTCTGGGCTCCCCTGATCCCGGGCCAGGAGGCCTGTCTGCTCCACTGTTCCCGAGCCCCCGCAGCTGCAGACGGGGTACCTTGGCTTCCTCATGCTGGGGTAACCAAGCCTCCTGTTTTCAGCTGCCTGGCTGCCGGCGGCCATCTTGACTGACAGTTAATTTGCATATTGCCCTGATTAGCCAATGGGAAGAGTAGCGGTCGTATGCCAATTACCATGTTTCTCTTTTATTAGATTAGATGACTAAAGGAAAAGCATGATCATTTTTATCATAATTTTAATTGCTTTTTATATTACCAACTTATTTAAACCCTTTAATAAGGCTGTAAATATCATGATTATAAATAGCTGACATAAATAATGTATCTTCTCTCCCTCCCTTTTATCAAGATTGAAAAGGCCAAACCTATTAAATGTGGAACATTTGGTGCAACATCCTTACAGCAGAGATATTTAGCTACTGGAGATTTTGCTGGAAACCTTCATATATGGTAAGATTACTTAATTAGTAGTAAGACCTGAGATTACAGTTTCTTTAATAGTCTTATTACTCTTCCTCTGAAAGAGAATTCTAATTTTTCTTTAGGTATTTAAAATAATGTTATCAGTACATTAATGTTTTAGAGAGAAACCGTCTTCCCTACCTGTTTTCTAATGTGACCTTTTTTGACTTCTCACTTAGAATCTGCTACTTTGTAATTAAATTACTTTGACTATTTATCTGTCTTAGGCTCCGAATATAAAACATAATGAAACTATTTTAATTTACCCTTGCTTTAACTTCTTAATAAGTAAGTTAGCATTTATTACAATGCATTAGTCCTCACATGCTATGTCATATACTTTCAAAGAAATGGGGAGAGACTAGTCTGAATGTTATTTTTTAAAATAAATATATTTCAGCACAAGAATATAGAACAAATGTAACTGTTGACTTTCTTCCTAATAGAGTAGAACAGGTACTACTGACTTGTTTTCATTGATAAGTCTTTTATTTATGTTTTAAAAAGTAATGTTTTTTAAAAATCTGTAAAAAATAGTCTTTTAAGTAGAACCTCAATCCTGTTTAGTCTCCTGTTTCTTCCACAGTAATGCTATAAAGATAAATATCATAACTCAAGTAGGTTGAACTATCTCAAATTTGCTAAGTGAAATTTTACAAATTTTGGCTCATAAGTTGGGATTACATCATGAAAAGCTACATTCATTTAAGTGTAAGTTATTGACACCTGACTTGTTAAAGAGAAATGTGGATAGAAGCTCCAATAGAAAAGCAAAAGAAGGGGAGCAAGCGAGAAAAGGGATGTATTGCTATAACCTACTTGAGCCATTCATTATGCAACCATCTCGTGTAGGCTCAAGCACACATAGTAGTAGTTACTTTCCCGCATCCCTTTCTCTTAAATAACCTAGAATTAGACAGATTTCAGCCAGTTTGACTCTCATATTTGTGACCAGCATGATGATAAACTGAAAAATACATAACTAGATGAAAATCCATATGGAACTCAGTGAGAAAATAATACATAATAAAGTGGAAAATGTGTACCTAGTACACACTATTCATATAATAAAATAACCCTCAGAAGATCTCTAGATGAAACTACCAAGGCCAACTTTGGAAACATTCTAAATCCTTCTACTTTACTCTATATTTAAAGCAGTAATTATCAGACTTCAATCAGCAAAGAGTCCACAAGTTTGGGACTCCATCCCAGAGATCATTATTAATGATGTCTGGGGAGGAGCCTGTGAATCCACACTTATTAAGAAGCAGACCTGGTAATTCATCTTTGAAGAACACTAAGTAAAGTGGACATGGGTTTGAATTCCAGGTTGAATAATGACCAATCTCATTGAGGGCTTAAAAGATGCTAAAGTGGAGGGAAGAAATTGGGAGTATTTGTATAAATTCATAGTTAAATCCTTATTTTTAAACAAAAATCTAAATATGGTATGCATTCTTACATTTTAGTAGTGAGCTAAATGTTTGGGATATGTGGTATAAGTAAGAAACTGTCTTCTGTTGTTTAGGAATTTGGAAGCTCCAGAGTACCCAGTGTATTCTGTGAAGGGCCATAAAGAAATTATAAATACGATAGATGGTGTAGGTGGACTAGGAATTGGGGAAGGAGCACCTGAAATTGTGACTGGCAGCCGAGATGGTAAGTCAAAGTATTTTATGTACAGTGTTTTAATTTTTTTAAGGTAAATCTCTGTACAACAGTATATCCTCTCTGAGTGGAAATCCTCAGTAACCCTGACCCACTAAATCTAACAGTCTGCTTTTTTAATAGGCAGGTTTGATGGCACATCCCTAAGTTATTTCATTCTTGAGTATTTTGAGGTAGAGGAAAAGCACTTAACTATTTTAGTTTTGAGCAAGTTCAACTACTAACAACCATAGTTTCATATGAACCTTGAAGGATTTTAGATTTCTTTATCGGTTTTTGAGGCAGCTGACGATAATGTGGGTGGCAGCTTTTCCTTTTTTAAAAAGCAGAATCGGTACTTGTGAAAATTGTCACGTTGACAGCTGTTGCACCCTGAAGCTCTGTGATCCTTCCGCTGAGCACTGTAGGAAGCTCCAAGGACACCACGCGCTTTTCTGCCTGCAGTGACCAACAATGGACAGGTCTTGAAAGAAAAGAGGTGAATTTCCTGATGGTTACTCAAGAGCAGCTCTGTTTTTGAAATGAAATATTCTTTCCCACCCTAGAAACAGTACAGAATATAGAAGGAAAAACAGCATTCAGTCCACCACACCCGCATAACTGTTAGGTGTGCTTTTCTTTCCAGTCTTATATACAGCAATGAATAGCTGTCAGTGTGTGTATGGTTTTGTATCTTACTTTTTCCATTTAATGTTTTGTCATATGTAAACGCTGCTGCTTTCATACTTACATGTTAATGACTACGTCACATTCCATCCTATGGAGGTGTCACAATGTTCTAACCTGTTAATAAGCATTCAGTTTTTTGTTTACCTCAAACTTTTTGTTTATTGTTTTGGGAGAGTGACTTAAAAATAATAAATAAGTATCATTATGTATATAACTCTTTTGGAATAAATGTGTGTTGTGGCTTTTAAAATTTACTGTCAATTTTTCCAAATTATCTTTTTACCTTATCAGCTACAATGGAAGAGATAGATTTCCAATCTACCCTACCAGCATTGATTTTCCTAGTTTTTTAGATAAAAATGGTACACCATTTCAACTTTGTTAATTTCTTTCTATATTTGTTTACCAGTTAATTTTGCTTTGTGAATTGTCTGTTTATGTTCTTAGCTCATTTAATTATTACAAACTTAATATAACTTTTATCAGTTTGTATGAAGCCAGTGGAGTGATACCTCTTGTCATATTTGCAGGAATTTAATAACCTATTTTATTTTATTCTTGGAGATAAATCAAGTGGAATAGTGCCCCCTTTTCTACATTTATTATCCCTATTAAGGATTTCTTTTTTTTATGCTTTTCCTATGCTCTCTCAGGTACTTGCCTTTTAGCCATTTTTTTACATGCATTTGTATTTCTCATAAGCAATAGCATCATTTACTTAGCAGTCCTATAATTTGCATTAAAATGAGGAAGTTGGAATTAAATTGAGAAGAATTATTTGTTAGTTTTTAAAAATAATTCTTGCCCTAACTGGTTTGGCTCAGTGGATAGAGTGTCGGCCTGTGGACTCAAGGGTCCCGGGTTTGATTCCTGTCAAGGGCATGTACCTTGGTTGCGGGCACATCCCCAGTAGGGGTGTGCAGGAGGCAGCTGATCGATGTTTCTCTCTTGTCGATGTTTCTAACTCCCTATTCATCTCCCTTCCTCTCTGTAAAAAACCAATAGAATATATTTTAAAAAAATAATAATTCTTTATTGTTGGAAGTATTACATATGTCTCCCTTTTCCCCCCATTGACCTCCTCCAGCCCACCCCTGCCCTGTTAATTTTATTTAATATTTCCCTGTTCTCTATTGCTACAGGGAAATTAAACTTAATTATATATGAAATAGTATTCTAAAACCCAATGTAAGAAATTGTAGGTGTAAAAATTAGTTTATTCCTCTGTATAAAGAATAATGCCAGTGACTATATGAGTAGTAAGGAAATAATTTAAATGGCACTGGTATTATCTAGGTAACTAATACATTAGTTTTAGGCTTAAGCAAAGAAAAGGAAGTGTGGTTTGAATTGCAAAACATCTGTGTTTGCCTTGTCAGTCATACCTTGTTGATAACTTAGGAACAGTTGTTGGCTTTTCTGTATAGCTGTTTGGAAATTTAAGTCAGACATATTGGTTATATTTCTGATATTAAGTACAACTTACCTACTTCAAAGTTAGAAAAATGTGAATACTTTTTCAGATGTTAGAACATCTATAATATTACCATGTATACAGGAAGCCATAGGGAGAGAATGCAGAAAAGAAATGTCATTATTTGCTGTTGAATTTTGCCAGTGCACTTTTATGTATGGCAGGAACTGTGAAGGTGTGGGACCCAAGGCAGAAAGACGATCCTGTTGCTAATATGGAACCTGTACAAGGAGAAAACAAGAGAGACTGTTGGACTGTGGCGTTTGGTGAGTTATTGAAGAACTCTTGGATTTGAAATATCCAATGGTAAAAGCTTCAAGGAAGTCCTCCTGGTGGTCTATTTATAGTCTGTTTGTGGATTATTCTGTCAGTTTATTGAGGCAAATAGACATGGTGGTTAACATCACCCTCTGAGGCCTGGGTTTGAAGTCTCACCGTCTACTTATTGACTGTGTGACTTATTGGCAAGTTATGAAGCATCTCTGTTTCTTGGTTGCTGCATTTGTAAATGGAAGTAATAATAGAATTTACTTAATAGTGTTGTTATGAGGATTCAAAAAGTTAATACATGTATAGTGCTTAGAATTGTGCTTAGATTATTAAGTGCTCAAAAATAATTTGCTGTTACTATGTACTTGTGTTTAACTAGATGATATTGACCCAGTTAGAACAAATACCAGTAATGGAGCTAAGTAGAGCCTCAAGGGCAAATGGTAGCTTTACAGATCTTACATTATACTTTATAGAGTATGTTTATTTTCTAGGAAGTAGTTATACCATTACAAAATTATTTATTATAAATCTGACAACTGTGTTTCTCTACTAATATATTTAAAATGAATGCTGGTTTTGTAGGACTAATTAATGTTTACCCTTGTATCTCTTGCTGAGCATCAAAATTAAAATTATTTTTGCTAGTAAAGAGGTATAGACCATATTTAGTTTTAAATCTCTATTTTCTTTCCCCTTTTTCATAGTATAATCCTGTGTAGATAATAGACATTAAAAGTAGGATTTAACAATATATGTGATTTGTTCAACTTTTTATGTTATTTTAAAATTGCACTGTTATTTAATTAGAGGAAAGTTTTAGACTTCCACTATAAAAAAATAAATTATTGTATGGGAATTACTATGTGTGTATATTTTATGAGCAATTATATAAACTTAAGACATATGCTTGGGGAGAAATTTCAGGGTTAGTATTTGGAATCATCATCTAAAACTTGGTATAATAATTAAAAAGTAATTACCTTTGGGTTCATTAAAGCCTTTCATCATTGATCTAAGGAATATAAGTACAATTTTAAATCTAGGTGCTTAAGTTTAAAAAGAAAATCCATTGATTTGACAAATTTTTATGAATGCCAAGTAGGTGCAAAGCGGTGGGCATATAAAGGTTAGACAGATGTGTTATCTGCATCAAGATGCTTATAGTTTAGTAAAGAGGACATGATATCTACATTAATCGTAGTGCAGCCCTAGCTGGTTTGGCTCAGTGGATAGAGCATTGGTCTGAGGACTGAAGAGTCCCAGATTCGATTCTGGTCAAGTGCATATGCCTGGGTTGTGGGCTTGATCCTCAGTAGGGGATGTGCAGGAGGCAGCTGATCAATGATTCTCTCATTAATGTTTCTCTCTCTCTCCTCTCCCTTTCTCTCTGAAATCAAAATGAATTCAAAGTGAGTATAAAGCATCAAACACACATGTACACACACACACAGAACCCTTCAGGGAGAGAAGAGAAAGCACAACGTTAAATCATAAATCATTAAACTCAACATTGAATGAGGAAAGAGAAAGACAGATAATCAATTTTGGAAATTGGTGTGGTTTTTACCCATGACTCTCAGAATCAATTTGGGGGGGGAGAGAG